CGTTTACAACTCTCTGTTACGCCGAATTAGAGTGCAACTCTTGAGGAGGAGGAAGGAAGGGTTCTGGGGAGGTTGGGGTCACGTGGCTTCGGGAGGGGGGTCTCGTGACTCGGGGGTTCACGTGACCTGGAGGTGTCTGGTGACCTCGGGGGGGGGGGGGGGTCGCGTGGCCTGGGAGGTCACGTGTCCTGGGGGTCACGTGACCTGGGAAGGCACGTGGCCCCCAGAGACATTTTTCCGCTAGATTTAGCGGGCAAATTTTTCCGCTAGATATATCGGGGAAATTTTTCCGCTAGTATTAGTGGGGAAATATTTCCGCTAAATTTAGCAGGAAAATTTTTCCGGTAGATTTAGCGGGGAAATTTTTCCGCTAGGTTTAGCGGAGAAATTTTTCCGAGAGATTTAGCGGGAAAATCTTTTCGCTTAATTTTCTGGCGAAATTTTTGCGCTAGATTTAGCGGGGAAATTTTTCTGCTAGATTTAGTAGGGAAATTTTTCCGCTCAATTTAACGGGGCAATTTTTCCGCTCAATTTAACGGGGAAATTTTTCCGCTAGGTTTAGCGGGGAAATTTTCCGTTAGATTTAGCGGGTAAATTTACCCATAATGGACCGCGCGGTTACGCTGACGGTGACGGCGACGCCGCTCAAGCCGGAAACGGGCGCCTAAGAGCTGCGCTCTAAAAAGATAAAATAAATATGTGCAGTTTGCGCATGAACAATACGGAGCTTAACCATACATTTACCGGCATACCTATAAGTCCTATTTAAAAAAAAAAGGTAACGCAAAAGTAACGTCGTTTCTTAACGGTAACGTGTTCCTTTTATTTTGAGGTAGCGTATGTTGGCAATGCGTTTCTTTTATTTGCGAATAACGAATAACGTATATTGTTTTGTTGTTTTTTTTTTCGCGAACGCCTACAGCACAAATGGCAGGCGATAAGGTGAGGCCTACGGCCGCCCACCCAGAAGGCCGGCATACAGGTTGATTTATTTATTCGAAACATGAACAGATAAGCCGGACTTTGTTTTCTGACAGGCTACAACCTAGGGAAAGGTAAAAGAGAACACAGACATTTAAAATAAATTAAAATCACCCACACGGAAGCACCTCTCACACAGACACAAAAATACACACGCACACACACACATGCTGTTGAAATTCATTTTGAAGTTCAGTGTCTTCCGCGTACTTTTGGAGCGCTTTTCGAAGACAATTGATTTTTTCCGAGAACCGTTCTGCGCACGCGCGAGAGCCCGATGTCAAGCGATGGAAGCGTCACGATTGATCGAGGAAATTCGGCAGGAGGCTGCGGATCAGCGAGTAGAACACGTAATTGCAGCATATGTATAGCCGTGTTACTCAAAAAAAAAAAGGACGGAAAGAAAAAAGTGAAAGCCGTTTACAACTCCCTGTAACACCGAATTAGAGCGCAGCTCTTGAGGAGGAGGAGGGAAGGGTACTGGGGGTGAAGTGACCTGGGGGGGGGGGGGGTCACGTGACCTTGGGGGTCACGTGACGATGCCGATGATGTCATCAGTGACGTCACTGATGACGTCATCCGTGATGATGACGATGACGATGCGGATGCCGGTGACGTCACTGATGACGTCATCTGTGATGATGACGATGACGATGCGGATGCCGGTGACGTCATCAGTGATGATGACGATGACCATGCGAATGCCGGTGACGTCATCAGTGACGTCACTGATGACGTCATCAGTGACGATGACGATGCGGACTCCGATGACGTCGTCAGCGATGATGACGATGACGATGCGGATGTCGATGACGTCATCAGTGGCGTCACTGATGACGTAATCCGCGATGATGACGATGACGATGCGGATGCCGGTGACGTCATCAGTGACGTAACTGAGGACGTCATCAGTGATGATGACGATGACGATGCGGATGCCGGTGAGGTCATCAGTGACGTCACTGATGACGTCATCAGTGATGATGACGATGACGATGCGGATGCCGGTGACGTCATCAGTGACGATGACGTCATCGGGGAGGTCACGTGACGTCGGCGAGGGGGTCACGTGACCCTAGGGGGTGGTCACGTGACCTAAGGGGGGTCACGTGACCTCGGGGGTCACGTGACTGGGTATCACGTGACCCTGGGGGAGGGGTCACGTGACCTCTGGGGGTCACGTGACCTTGGGGGCCACGTGACCTTGGGATGACCTTGGGGGGTCGCGTGCCCTTGGGGTGACCTTGGTTACGCCGACGCCGACGCCGACGGCGACGCCAACGGCGACGCCGCTCAAGCCGGGAACGGGCCCCTAAGAGCTGCGCTCTAAAACGGGACGTTTGGGTCGCGTTGGTCGCGCGACCAATCGACACATCTGTATGGAAAAAGTACCTAGAATGGCGGCTGTACCTCTAATCGCCGTAGTCGTCAGCTATGCAACCCGTGCTTCACCGGAATTACCAGTTTTGCAAGCCTCCACCGCCTCTTCCTATAAATTACGGTGAACTCCCGTCCCACGGCTGTGCCCAACTTTTGTGTCACCCAACTTTTGAGAATCCGCCAGATTGAGCGAAGTTTCCTATTTTGTGATTGGCCGTCCCTCGATGGTGCGGGGCGCCGGCGTCCCCCGTCTGGCGTCGGTGCCGGGGGAGTAGAACACCGTCGATCGGCTCATTTTGGCTCCGGTAGCCCGATTTCGGTCCCAAATGGGTCTCAAAACCCTTTCACCCGGCGGAAACGCCGCCCAGCTCTATCGCCGGGATGGGGTAAAACAACGGCTGTGTGAATGACGCTTATGCTACTGACTGCCTCCTACCACTCCCGTCCATCGCCGTTGCCATTGTTTCTGGCTGCTCGCTAGGTTACCTTGTTTTCCGCGGGTTTCCCCTGGTTCTTCCTACGAAGCTGATCACGAGGTATGGAAGTCCCTGAGTGCGTACCTTTGTACTGCTCGCGCGGCTCGCGTGCCGTCGCGCACGTACCCCAGCTCAGAGAGCGAAGAACCTTGTAGCGTGGCTCCCACAATCGATTGGTAGCGCAGGTCACTTCCGAGATGTTTAAGTCGTGCAGCCACCGCCTGGTGCCGTCGGTGTGCGGAAAAGGTCCATTGATGATTCCGCCAATAGATATATTGTGAAGATTGACGGACGATGAGGCAGAACAAAACGGAATAAACTAAAGATTTAATGAGCGTAGGGTGACCACCCGTCCCGCGACTCGCGGGACTGTCCTGCATCGAGGGTCGTGTCCCGCTGTCATGATTTGGGAAAAGAAAAGGAAGAAAAAGAGGGGAAGAAAAAGAAGAGCGGTATCGCGGGTGCGAAGGGATTCGAAGCTGGACCAAGAGCAACGACGGTTGGCTGCTCGAACGGTGCGCTATTCGGCTCCGTCCCGGCGTCAGTGTGGTCGACGTAACCGGATTCGTCCCGGCCTCAGCGCGCTGAGAATCAACGCGCCTGGCTCCGTCCAGGCTGCAGGGAAGCTGCACTTCAACGTAACCGGCTTCGTCCGGGCTTCAGCACGGTGACCAGCAGCGCAACCGGCTCCGTCCCGGGATCAAGGCACCCGTACCCGAGATAACCAGCCCCCTCCCGACATCGCGGCACGCTCTTCTTCACCAACGATCCAGGGGGCGAACCATCAAGGGCACCAGCGGCCCGGGCTACGACCCCAGGGGTGACTATACGGCCTACTGAACATGCTTGGACGGTCGAATAGTTTTTTTTCTTTTGCCTTTCTAACGCTGCCTCTTCTTTATTTTTACTTCCTGACTTGAATATATATATAGATTTGTTTTTTCCTCGTGCATTTGTCTCAGTCTCCCGATCCTTTCTCTCACCACCCCAGACGAACCTGACAATTTGGCGAGCCTGCCAGGATAGCTGGCCCATTACATCATAGTCACATCTTTTTCCGGAGGGTGGGAAGGGTGAGGAAGATTTGGGTGGTATTTCAACGATAGAAACTGACAAGTTAATCGCGGTAGCGAAGGAATCAGGCTATTCCGGGGCAGATTTGAGGAAGTGGGTGGATGAGGAGAAAGTCCGGATAAGAGCAGAAAGGGCTGAGGAGCGCGAGCACTCGAGGTTAGAACGGGAGGCTGCTGTCAGAACTTTAGCGGCGGAGTGCGCGAAACTGGACAAGGAGCGGGAGGTGCTTCAAGTACGAATAGCAGCGGGCGATACTACACGTAACAGTTCAGAAGATGTGGAAGGCGCGCGTGAGGAACCACCAGGCTCCAGGAACTTTGGGAGCCCACATAAGCTCATCCCGTAATTTATTGAGCGTCGAGACGACCTAGACGCATACTTGCAGCGCTTTGAGCGCACTGCAACAGGCTTAGGATGGCCCCAGCTAAAGTGGGCCACTAATTTGGGGCTTTGCTTAACCGGAGAGGCACTCACGGTTGTCGGTCGGATGACACCGGCAGATGCGTTGGACTATGCCAAGGTGATGCTAGCACTCTTCCAGCGGTTTCGTTATACCAAAGAGGGATACCGCGACAGGTTCCGAGAATCCAAGCCGGAAGACGGTGAGACAAGAAGACAGTTTGCGGCCCGATTGGCAGGGTACTTTGATAGGTGGATTGAGATAGCAGGGATTGATAAGTCTTTTGAAGCATTGCGAGACAATGTCTTGGTGGAGCAGTTCTTGCTGACTTGCTCAAGCAAGCTGGCAATATTTCTAAGAGAGCGGGACTGTCAAGGTTTGGACGACGTGGCAGCTAAGGCTGACCTGTTTCTGGAGGCTCAGGGACAACCTAGCACAAGTAAACAAAGAGGAGACGAGATGGGAAATAAGCAAAGTGCCGTAAGCGAGGGGAATTGTAGAAAAGGTGAGGTTCAAAAAGGCATCCGCTGCTTCTTGTGTAGAAAGTCTGGGCACAGAGCAGAAAACTGCAGGAGTAGTGCACAAGGAGGAGGGTTCTGCTGTGTTGAAACTGTGGTCGCAGTCGTCATAAGGCTGACGCTTGTAGAGAAAATCCGAACGAGAGACACCAAGCTTCATGCCTCTGGACGATGTCTCCAGGAAACTGCGACAAGTCAGATGACTGTTGCGTCACCTTGAGTAATGGCGATAAGATTCCAGTTGTTAACGCTGCCATGGGGAGGGCCCCAAAGTTCTTAGTAGAGAACATGCCCGTCGTGGAAGGTCGTCTCAGGGACCATAAGATATCGGTATTAAGAGACACCGGATGAAATAACGTTGTAGTTCGCGAGTAGCTGATTCCTCAAGAGAACCTAACTGGCAAGTCGAATCCAGTGTTTCCGTTGGATCGAACGGTCCGGTATTTACCTGAGGCGGAGATCTTTGTGCAAACGCCTTACTACACAGGGAAGGTGTTGGCAAAGTGCGTCAGCAATCCACTATATGACCTGGTGCTGGGAAATATACCGGGAATACGAGACGCTAATGACCCGAACCCAGCTTGGGTAAAAGTAGATGAGTTGGCGGGTCAGAGATGGAATGATGAGGTAGAGGTGAATCGGCGCACTGGTAAGGAGGCAGATGCCAGCAAAAATACCGATTCCAGTGACAACAAAAGGGACTTGTCACATCAGGTAGAACCAGCAGAGGTCGCTTCAGCCCGGGAAACAGGCGCCGCACGAAATGAGGCGAAAAGTGAGACGCCTCTGAGTGTACCTCAAGTGGCGATAATTAATACCACAGCGGAAGAACTCGCAAGAGAACAGAGAACAGACGGAACTCTAACTCTGTGCTTCGACGATATTGGAACGATTACAAGAAGGCACAAGTGCAAGACCAAGTTCCGGTTCTTCATGAAGAACAATCTTCTGTACAGGACGGCGGAATACTCTTCTGGGCGAAAGACAGAACAGCTGGTGCTCCCGAAAAAGTTCAGGGCCGCCGTTGTCGCTCTCGCACATGACAGCATCATGTCAGGACACCAGGGCATGAAGAATACGCTCAACCTGGTGGCTGAAGAATTCTTTTGGCCAAGTATGCAGAGCGAGATTAAGAGATATGTTCGATCATGTGATATATGCCAACGTACAATACCCAAAGGCAAGGTTGGTAGGGCACCTCTAGGAAGAATGCCGACTATCGAGACACCTTTCCAGAGAGTGGCGATAGACTTAATTGGCCCCATCGCTCCGAGGGCAGGCTCAGGTAACAGATACATCCTGACAATGGTAGATATGGCGACGCGGTATCGGGATGCATTAGCGATGAAGAGCATCGGGGCGCAGGAAGTAGCGGAAGCTCTGATGGAGATGTTCACAAGGTATGGAGTGCCGACAGAAATTCTTAGCGATCGGGGATCGTGCTTTACATCAGAACTAATGAAAGAGGTCAGCCGACTTCTATCAATGAAACATCTCATGACCACTCCCTATCACCCTATGGGGAACGGGCTAGTAGAGAGACTCAACGGCACGATCAAGCAGATGTTAAAGCGGATGTGCCAGGAAAGGCCTTGTGACTGGGACAGATACCTACCAGCCCTCCTGTTCGCGTACAGAGAAGTACCACAGTCGAGTCTCAAGTTCTCACCGTTTGAACTACTCTACGGAAGAAGAGTGAGAGGTCCTTTGGCCATTCTGAAAGAGCTCTGGTCGAACAAAACCCTCAAAGAAGAAGTGAAGACATCGTACGGGTACATGTTAGAGTTGAGAGAGAAGCTAGAAGAGACGTGCAAGCTAGCGCACAGTTGCTTGGAGGAAGCAAGAGCAAAGTACAAGGGGTACTACGAAAGAAAGAGTTCCAACCGGAAGTTGAAGCAAGGTGACTTGGCGTTGATCCTTCTCCCTACAGATAAAAACAAGATGATAATGCCGTGGAAAGGACCATTCCTTGTGTTGACAAGAAGGAATGAAGTTGACTACGAGTTAGACATGGGAGGAAGGACGAAAACTTTTCACATCAACATGTTAGAGAAGTATGAAAAGAGGGAAGGAAGTCGACAGGAGCAGGCACTTTGCAATGCTGCAGCAAGCACTCACGAAATGAACGACTCCAGACACGACACTGTAGAAGACGGTCATATTCCAATGCTGAGTTTGACAAAGCAACAAGGGTGGCAGGATGTCGTCATAAACGGGAAGTTAGAAAGAGACACGTCTTGCGAGGCGCGCGAGTTAATAAAGGACTTCAGCGATTGCTTTTCTGATCTTCCTGGTAGGACATACCTCTAGACATGTGACCTTCAGCTCACCACTCCACAACCGATACATGTGAGACAGTATCCGCTACCTTTGGCTGTTCAAGATGCAGTCGAGAACAAAATCACAGAGATGCACAAGTTGGACGTAATAGAGAGGTGTACGTCATCGTACAATGCCCCAGTGGTCATTGTGAAGAAGAAAGACGGGTCGAACAGATTTTGTATCGATTACAGACGGCTGAATGACGTCATACATCCTGTCGCAGAGCCAATACCAAGAATCGACATGACGTTTGTCAAGGCGGGACAAAAGCGTTTCTTCACAAAACTTGACGTAGCCAAAGGCTACTGGCAGATTCCGATGGATGAACACGCTAAGGAGAAGACGGCTTTTTCGTCGACGAGTGGGCATTATCAGTTCAAGTTTATGCCGTTCGGTCTGAAGACCGCCTCTGCTATGTTTACAAAGCTGATGCGTAAGCTGCTAGATGGGGTGCGAGACGCGCATCACTACATTGATGATATCCTAGTTGCAACAAGTTCATGGGAGGACCATATAGAGACGCTCAAGACGATTTTTGAACGTCTAGGAGCAGCGAACATCACAGTAAAACCCAAGAAATGTCAGATAGGGTTTGAAGAAATTAGTTTCCTTGGACATGAAATTGGAATGGGTAATATAGCTCCGGATGCACAAATCGTCGAAAGGGTCCGAGATGCACCACGATCGCAAACGAAACGCCAAGTTCGTTCGTTTCTCGGACTAACAGAATTCTACAGGCATTTTGTGCCAAACTACGCAGAAGTTGGAGCGCCGTTGGTAGACCTGACTAGAAAGGGAGCACCTAATGGTGTCGAGTGGGGCCCGAGGCAAGAGGAGGCTTTCACAAAATTAAAAAAGACGGTCGGACCAGCCACCGATTTTGCTGTCACCAAATCCTGAGAAGGAATTCGTGTTACGCACTGATGCGTCAGAAGCAAGTTTGGGGGCAGTGTTACTGCAGGAGAAGGAAGGGATGCTGCACCCAGTAGCATATGCCAGTCGGAAACTGACTAACTCTGAAAAGAACTTCGCCACCGTGGAAAAGGAATGTCTAGCGCTGGTTTGGGCAGTTGGCCGGTTTAAGCTCTTTTTGTATGGTAGGACATTTCGCGTCCAGACTGACCATCAGCCGCTGGAATTTCTCAACAAGGCAAGACTCACGAATAGTCGGGTAATGAGATGGAGCATGGCGTTGCAAGATCACGGTTTCAACGTAGAGTATATCAAAGGTAGGGATAACGTGGGCGCAGACTTTTTAAGCCGGCTCTAGTGTGCCTTTCAAGAGGGAGATGGTTCACAGACCGGAGCTGATTGAGAGGTGCGCGCCACAAATCCGTTATTTACGTCAGCGGTATGGAGGAACCACAGTCAGTATCGACTTAGGTTCTAACAGGTACCAACCTTGGCAGCTGGTCGGTGTCGTAGGTTCTTATAAGGTCTTTGGTTTGTTGTGTGTGTTTTATGGTTGTACGCTTATCGGATAAATTTTTCCTGAAGAAGAATAAGTTTGACCTACGACGAGGTGTTTTAGTGTATGATTGAACACCGTTGGTAAACCTTTTTTTTTTGTTTGGTAAAAGTGTGAAATGGTGTGACATTTCGGCAACGGTTGAGTGTTGGCGTTATCCTTTGTGGCGAATGTTGTGAAAGTGTCGTGACAAAAGCTCGTATCTCTCGGTTGCGATCAGCGATGTTGTGACGGTACCTAGAAGAGAAGAAATGGACAAGTTAGAAGTTTCTTACAAACCTCTCATGTTTGTGGGGTGATGTCATAATTTGGGAAAAGAAAAGGAAGAAAGAGAACGGAAGAAAAAGAAGAGCGGCATCGCGGGTGCGAAGGGATTCGAAGCTGGACCAAGAGCCACGACGGTTGGCTGCTCGAACGGTGCGCTACCCGGCTCCGTCCCGGCGTCAGTGTGGTCGACGTAGCCGGCTTCGTCCCGGCCTCAGCGCGCTGAGGATCAACGCGCCTGGCTCTGTCCGGGCTGCAGGGAAGCTGAACTTCAACGTAACCGGCCTCGTCCGGGCTTCAGCACGGTGACCAGCAGCGCAACCGGCTCCGTCCCGGGATCAAGGCACCCGTACCCGAGATAACCAGCCCCCTCCCGACATCGCGGCACGCTCTACTTCACCAACGATCCAGGGGGCGAACCATCAAGGGCACCAGCGGCCCGGGCTACGACCCCAGGGGTGACTATACTGCCTACCGAACGTGCTTGGACGGTCGAATGGTTTCGTTTCTTATGCCTTTCTAACGTTGCCTCTTTTTTTATTTTTACTTCCTGACTTGAATATATATATATTTGTTTTTCCTCGTGCATTTGTCTCAGTCTCCCGATCCTTCCTCTCACCACCCCGGACGAACCTGACACCCGCGTCCCGCAAGAAATATCAAAACCTTCAAAATGTCCCGCATTTCACACTGTCGTAAAACTCCCTACGCAGCTTATGGCGCTGCCGAGCAACGGGGCACAGGGAAGCGCGGATATCGCTGGTGAACGTGTGAATCTCGATGGTACACCATTTTCTATCCTAGAATTGTGGGAAGTGACCGTCGTTCTTGCAGGAGATCTGACGAGCATGCGCTGTTCTGCCTCTCTGCCTTTGGTGGCAAAATATTGCAAGGGAGAATCGCTCACCAAAAGTTGAAAATAAATTATTTCAGTCATTTTCAAACCTTGCTGCGTCAATGCGAACCGGGTTGCTGTGTGAATTTTTTTTTATTATTATTTATTTTAGTAAAAACGATCACACAAGGCAAGAAGACTGCACAACGGTCAAAAACAACGACGTAAGATTGGAAATTTGGGTAGGAGTATGTTGTTAAAAATTCGAATCGACAGAGAACGAAAAGCCGTTAAAGATTGACTGCTTCTATCGTTTTGATGCATTGAGTTCTGTTGCAGTCGATTTTATGTTTTCAACTCAGACAATGTCACTTGTGGTGAAAATCGTTTCAGCTTAATTGCCAGAATACAATTTGCAGCTGTAGGATATGCTTTCAGACAAGACAGGATATCAAATATGCTAGCAGAGCCGCATTTCGTAGTGTGTGTTGATAACATTCCTCGTGTAGTTATTTTTTTCATTATGTTTTTTTTAAACCTGAGACTGGGGCAGAAGGCGGAAAAACCATTTTCCTCCACCTGCCCCAGTCTCAGGTTAATAGGCAGTATCGTAAATTTCTACCAGCCCGACGGCGCACTAAGTTCTTTTTGGCAGTTGCCACAGCAGAAATGTCATACCGTTCTTCTCTTACAACACCCCCCCCCCCCCCCCTTTCCAAAGGTCAGCGTGTCCCGCATGTCGCTAGCAGGAAGGTGGTCACCCTAAATGGGCGTGATTTTGTGCCGGAAACAAAAAAGAACACACCGAGAAAGCTGCAGCGAGCGCTGGCGGCGGGAGCAGCAGGCGACAGTCTGTCGGCGAAACAGCTGGCTATCTCGAGAGACAATAAGTGAATGAATCGAAAATACGGCGCTCGGTTCCCCATACACTATGCTCGTCACCTCGTATATATGAGCTAGAACGTTCGGAAAAGAGCTAAGGCAAGACCGACTAGACAAGGTCACTCTAGCCTCCCTATAGTTTAAGCTCGAGGCAAGAGTGCACGCGAATCCTCTAGATGAATAGAGAAGCGCATCTTCTCGGTCATGCAGGAGGCAAAATTGCTAATTTAGACAAGCATCAAGGAAAATTATAGGAACGCAGGTCTACGCGCCGCACGCACTTGCCCTTTCTTTGTAAGAGATTTGAAGTAAATAACCAAAATAAGTTGTTGACGAACGAGCGTACTATCGGGGAAAAATGAAATGCGAACAGAGGAGCGCGTGGCTCGCGGTACAGGCTGCGCCGCCTGGAAGTGAACCTAGGGTCGAGGGTGCGTGGCCTACTTCGATGTGTTCACGCCCCTCGATTGGCGCTCGCCCAGCTTCGGCAGTGCGCCTCTCAGTGCGCTGAAAGCCGTCACCGCTATCTTTGCCTGCTCGGCGAGTGCGGCGAGCTTCTTTGCACCGCTCGCGCTGAGCCAGCAAAGATAGCGGCGATAGCTATCAGCGCACTAAGAGGCGCACTGCTCCAGCTTGGGGAGCTCAGAGGGAGGGGCGTGAACACGTCGGAGTAGGCCACGCACCCTCGCCCCTAGGCTCACTTCCAGGCGGCGCAGCCTGTACCGCGAGCCACGCGCTCCTCTGTTCGCATTTCATTTTTCCCCGATAGTACAAGATGTCATTTCCCTTAGGTTTTTGCATTAGAACAGTGACTGCTGAAGACGCTAGTACGTGCGGCGAGTACACAACCATTCCCAGCATTCTCCTCGATCTTGGGTAATTTATCAATAGGTCTATTGTTTCTTAATTGGCCAAAGACCTCTCACCGTGAATGGTCGTGGGCCCAGCTCCTGAAGAGCTATTTTATGTGTTTACAATGTGTTCGCAGCGTAACGCTCTCGCATCAAAAATGTTCAATATACTTTTTGTAAATTTCATAAATTGCGGTTTGGAGTATCAGTTCAAACAAGAAAAATTATATTTTCTGGTATAGGCTAATACGAGTCGCAGTCCGTGGTTCAGAATTTTTTTTTTTTTTGGTTTCTCGCTAGATTATGTAGTAGACACTCATTCGCCAAAAGTAGGTAATCGCAAAAATTAGATCATCGCAAAAGTGAAGTCATTACAGGAATATTTGGGGGAATCAAAAATGCGAAGGATATGATGCGGTTGTTGATCTATCAGTGTAAACAAGGACATGGTTATTTTGTACATTAAATATGTGGAATGAGTATGTTGCAATCGAGCGCCTATTCGGGTACGTTTGATTTCCCAACGCAAGGCATTTTGTTTTATAATTTGAATAGAGGGCACATTTGTTCACGTTACTGAAAAGAGTACTGATGTACATCTACAATAACTCATGGCTAAACTGCAACTAATTAAAGTTACAATTCCATTTCCCTAAAAGTAAAAGCCCGTGGCTTCAGACAGTTATCTATTAGTTTCTCGGCGTTATTTTCAACCTTACTGTCCTAGGGTAAGCAACAAGTGTTATTGAAGGATTTATTTTTGCCGCCACTCACACTTTTGTGACCTTTCGCAGCATCTGGCTCACAAAGTTTTCACAGCACATCTTGCCTCATTTCTATGTGAAGATGCCCCGTCTAAAACAGCGTTTGATTTATGTTTTAAATAAGGGATACCATTTAGATGCATGACTGGGCATAAATTTAGTGTCTAGAAAACAACGGGCTCGCAATACCTCTTCCACCCAATGGACACCCGAAAATCAGCTAGATCTTGTTGGGTCATTGAGATGCTGTAACCTATCTACGGCTCCTCCAAAGTTCGCGGCCGCTCCAAAGTTCGCAAAGGCGCGTAAAAATCCGCTTCACGAGCTTTGACCGTTATTTTGTGTTTGTTTTTGTTTTGCTTTTTGTAGGAAATAAGCGCTTTAAACTGGAGGTTTTGCCTAATATTGGTGGCAGAAAGAGCCCGGTTTTTTGGATCAGTGTGCCTCCCTGTTCTTTGTGGTAGAACAAGCTCATGAGTTACCTTTTGAAAAACAACCACGCCACGAAAGAAACGAAAAAAAATGGCAGGCTTTAGGTTGTGTGAAGAAACATTTTGAGTTCTGTAAATGAAGGTGACAGTCTAATTCCGGTAAAGCTTACCCTTAGAAAAATTTTAAAAAAAACGGCAGAGACACTTAAGACTGCTTACGTGTAGGAAAGCAAAAGCATGCTTACACAAGCGAAAGCATTCCTACAACCAGCTCGCCACGTCTATATATTTCACACGGAGCTCCGGTGGCGTCGTCACACACCCCAACTACGCAGACGCGGCGAAGCCCGCCGGCTTCCATGACGAAGCATCTGTGTTGCTGTGTTTTTCTTTGTTTTATTTCTGAAACGCGTCCGCTGTGACCCTCAGCACTCCCTCAGGCTTCCGTGACGGGGCATCTGGTTGCTTTGCTTGTTTTGTGTTTTATTTCTGAGGCGCGTCCGCTGTGACCTTGAGCGCCCCCGCCGGGTTCCCTGACGAAGCATCTCCGTTGGTGTGTTTTTGTTTGTGTGTTATTTCTGAGGCGCGTCCGCTGTGACCTTGAACGCCCCCACCGGCTTCCGTGACGAAGCATCCCATACAAAAATGGTCTATCGTCATCTATGGAAAATTCTATGGCTAGATATCACCCCCTATGGCCCCCTATGGTCGGCCATAGAAATCCATAAGTGCACATACAGCCACCTATAGAAAATCATATGGCCCTTTGTCTAAAGACTTGGAACCAATAAATTTTCTTTACCCGCCCATAGAAAATTGTATGGTCTCAAGTCTAAAGACTGGGAACCAATACAATTTCTTTACTCGCCTATAGAAACTTTTATGGCCCCGAGTCTAAAGACAGGGAATCAATAAATTTTCTTTACCCGCCTATAGAAAATTTTATGGCACCGTGCCTAAAGACATAAAACCACTAAATGCTCTTTAGCCTGCTACAGAAAATGGGATGTCTCCTAGGCTATAGGCTTGTGACCATTCCACTTTCTTTAGCCAGACATAAATAAGTGGATGCCTCGAAAGCTATAGACCTGTGACCATTCAATTTTCTTTAGCCATCTGTAGAGAAGCTTGCCTCCAAGGCTATAGACGTGCAACCATACGTCTTCCTTTACCCATCTAAAGAAAATTGTATGCCACCAGGGGTATAGACTTTCAAACAAAAGATTCTTTAGCTGCCTACAGGGAAGTTTGTCTCGAAACCTATAGACATGCAACCATTAAAGTTTCTTCTTAAGGCAACTAAAAAAATTGTATGGTACTGTCGACCATGAAGATTCTTTGGCAGCCTTAAGTTTTGTATGTTTGTACCACGAAGAGAAGCTATAGCTAGATAGTCGACCGTAATAGTTTCATTAGCTGCTATTATGGTCCTTAGGGTGTCACTAAAGCTACACCAGCCATAGAAGCTGCTCGCATTTCGTATATAGACCTTCAATCTTCTAAACGCTCCCAATAATGAAATGTTTACAAAAGCTATGTACTAGACTGTAGAAGCTTATTTACCTGCTTTAAAGCGTATCACCGGAGCAATAAACGAAGATCGTAAATGCTCTAATTGGCTCTAGAAAGTCTCATTGGGGAAATGTGGACCTTTCAACCATTCGGTTTCCCTTAGCCTCGTAAAGATCATTCGAAGTCAGTATTATGCCTCTCCCTAGAGAAGCAAGTTAATGAATCATATATTGAATGCAAGCAACAATGCACTTTTTTGCAAGCCCATTTGCCCATTCTTATGAGCATGTTAATTCAGCCACCACCTAAAATAGCTGTGTGGTGACTAAACACTAAAAATTCTATTACAAATTTTACCTATATAAAGAGACTTGGGACTATAGTGGCATTTTCCTATAGTTTATTGAAAATTGACATAGAAACATTTGAGGAAAATTTAAGTTCATTCATACGGCATTAGATGTATCAATATAAGCATATAAAATGAGCCCAGCGACAAAGCGGACTTTCGAGCACCCGTGGAACAGGAGAGAGAGGGAGGGAGGGAGGGTGAGGTATGAAGTACAGGGTGTTTCAAAATAACTCTAAAAATCACCGGCAAACATCAGGGACTCAACATATCAAGTAGAAACCTCGAGTACATACAGCTTTCACAGGTCGGATTTAGGCATTAAAATTTTAAGTATCTCATCCAAGTACAAAATTTAAAGAAAACTAAAAAGGAAAATGCCCTACGCTTTTAAATGGGTAAGTTTGTTAATTTTTTTTTTCATGCTCTAATAGACTTGAAATTTTAATGTGCAAATGGGACTAGAAAAATATGTACTCGAGGCGAGTTGTGTAAACAGGACTAGTAAAATATGTGTTCGATGCAAGTTTCAACTTGATGCGTTGAGCCGTGGAAAGCCGTGAAAGCAAGCATCAGAAAATGTTAAAGGGATACTTCAACGAAATTTGAAATATTTCCGTCGTGTTCAAAAATAGGTTGAATATGATCCACAATATCCGTAAATGACAATAGCACGTTTGTATTAGGAACCTGGTGGCTGTATTTTTCATTATAAACGGCCCACTCTGGCAAGCTCTTGGAGAAGGCCCAGCTTAGAGCATGTGACATCCAACGCAATCGTGACGTAGGTCGTCTCAGGACAAGCAAAGCTACGGCGAGGCTGACGTCGAAAGGATGGCCTAGTCGTTCCAGCCACCGAAGCGGCTGCTTTTGTACGAATTTTGAGTGACGGGTTATCTTCTGTAATATTGTAGGGGGACAATAGCGACTTCTGCGACACACAAAAGGCATTCTCGGGAAGAGGGGAGTTCCTCCTGCCCCTCTTCTCTCGTCGTGGCCGGAGGCGAGACAACCTCCGTCACTAGCTGTCAAGGTTTCTAGACGGGCATTACAAGCGAGGCGTTAGCGACATCCACCAGGTGCTCTTTTCTTATCGTTTAATTCGTTTTAAATTTTCTTTTCGAGACTTATTTAACAAGATATTGGTATGTTCGATGTGATACTGCTCCTTTGAACACATATAGACCAGAAAATGAGCGCCGAAATTTCGTTTTAGTATCCCTTTAAAAGCAAATTGGGTCAAGGAAGAACAAAAACTGAAATGCACAGATAGTCAAAGGCAAGCTAGTAACAAAATACAGGGAAACAGAGTACACTAGACTTAGTAGTCAATGTTCTTATACAGAAGGGAAGCATACATGTTATCAGTTACAACGAATGCGACACATTTCTGGCTGACACAGTGAACACCTACAATTCTGTAATGATCCTGGGCTTTAAGCACCTGCATGTGAGCAAATTTAGGAGTGAACTTTAAGAGGCTTGCTTCTACATTTTGCAAGAAGAAATACACACTTTTGTCGCAGACACAGCTTGAGACGCACACATTACAGATAGCAAGTACAGAGTGAATTATACCAAATGTATGGTCTTTAAGATAAACAATGGAGTTTATCCGAGTGGTCTTGTTTAAAGGGGCGGTGCAACGATTTTATGATTAAAATAATTTGCATCTCGTCATTTTTACGTTGTTTATCGTGTCCCGGAGAATAGAGAAAACACTTCCTTCATTAAAAATGTCGCGATTCCGCTGCTTAATCGCAAAGCAAAGGTCGAGCTTTTTCCCCGCCTGCAGCCCCAAGTGGCAGCCGAAGGAACTACGGCGGAAAGATTACGTGACCTCGCTCGGCTCTAAGCCGCAGCATAGCGCCCGCTAATGCACGCAGAGAGAGTGAGGGGAAGCGTCCTCCGAGATAGCACAAGGGAAGCTACACGGCACTCCGAATGACGTCACTGGGAGTGCGACCAGGTGTGACCCTGAAGGCTGGGAGTGAGTTGAGGGGTTCCGAAATACCAATCTTTATCTTTTTTTTTACGCAAAAACTAGGACACGCAGGCGAAATCGGTCTTCTGTTCTTTACTTCAGAAGTGTCTGGGGGCAACTTCCAGAAATCTTTGACCGAAGTCCGAAAATCATTGCACCGCCCCTTTAAGCAATGGGCAATATACTTCGTTCCATTGACAAACACTTTCTTGTACTTTGTGACCGCAGATGTAGATATGCTCATGTTGTGGATCGAGTCAACCTCTACGGATGTCAGTGTCCGTGACCCGGTGCCGATGGCGATTGCGTTGGCATGTTCCTCGACATTGAAGATTCTCCGATACCCCCTAGTCAAGTTCTCAAAGTACAGTTGTACCTTTGGTCTGCCGATGAAAGAGCGCTGAGAGTTAGCTAAGGTAGGCAAGAACTGTGACAGTAATGGTTTTCGACAGATTTGTTGGGGCACATACTGAGTTCCGTGAAAACTCTTCTTTATGACTCCATTTATATTTTCGAACGGAAAGGCTGAAAAGCCCCACAATGGCCCCCACTGACGTACAGAGTCACAAAGGTGTACAATCAAATGCAGGTTAAAAGTCATTTGTGCACACCCATACAGGTCTTGATACTCCCTCATGAAGACTGCGATTTCGGCTTCAATAGCACCAAGCCTGTCAAGGGCTGCCACATCGGCCAGTAGTGCATGCATAATGGCACTGAACCTACACCAATTTTTTAAATATGGTTTAGGGAGCACCCCATTCAGGACAAATGGCGAGTAGTAGAGCAGCCATGCCCTCCATTCTGTCGCCTTCCAGAATTTTCGCTGACACAGCGAGCGTGGAAGGCGCGAGAACTCGTACGGCGGGGTGATGTTCTTCAGACGAGCATTGATCATTGTCAGCTTTTTTCCCAAGTGAAAGCTTCGACGTGCGTGTGAACGTTTAAACCAGAGGTTTGTAGTTGCTTTCACTACACCTAGGCAGACCGCATGCATGTAGTCGACCACAGTTAGAGATGTAAAATTTCCGGAAATTTTGAAGGCCGGAAAAAAACGACGAAAAAAACAAGTTTTTTTCCGGAAATTTTGGAAAGATTCGAAAAATATTCTCAACAGCTATAATTCAGTAATGATTCGAAATATATCGACAGAGGTCAAGAACCGCAAGATATTTCCGCCAGTTTTACGGTGAACTATTATATTATATCACATTTTTTAACGTTTACGACAACTTTTGTCAATTTAGCTGAGCTTTGACTACTCATCTGGCAACAACCGATAGCACCTACGCAGTTCTTCGTTCCCGCCGGTGCCGTTCGCGCTCTCGACGGGCAGTCGGAGGAGCCATATCACTTTAGCTTTTCCAGCCCCTTAGTGAAAGTTCTGAGCATCTTACTCTGGTGTGGACACTTGCGGTGGACCGTGGAGCTGTCAAAACTGTGTGCTGTGCGCCGTGGAGAGGTCAGCCAGGGCAGCTATAACGCTTTAGCTTGAACAGCGCCGTTTCCGAAACCTCGCGCGCATCGTTCTCGGGTATGGACTTTCGCCGTGGATCCGTGAAAACTGTGCGCTGTTCGCTATGGTGAGGCCGCGCTCCAACGTTTGGAGGAACTTTGACGTGCTAAACAGTGGTAAGGGGCCAGCGGTGTGCAGATTTTGCTGTGCCAAATACGAATTTCCCAACGCAACTCGCTTGCGGCAGCACATCGAAAGGTGCTCGAAGTGCCCCCCGGACATCAGGTCTGCAGCATCGGACGACCCGACAGGATCAGAGTCTGGGGCATGTCGGTCCAGGAGCCCATCTGTGGAAGTTTTACGGTCAGAGCGCGCACCTGTGGAAAATGAAAGCACAAGCTTTCAAAATGAGGCCGACAGGTATGTCAAGCAGCGAACTTCTATAGAAGCGTTCGTTGACAGAATGACGCAAGGGTGTCAAAGCAAGCTTGATGAGGCGCTGGCTCAAGCGATATATGCCAGTGGAACGCCTTTATCAGTTACGGAAAACATACTGGCGAGAAGCGTTCAAGCTCCTCAGGCCCGCATTCGTGCCGCCTTCCAGGCATTCTTTAGGTGGACGACTCTTGGAGGCCGACAATGCCCGAGTGATGACGCAGGTGGAAGAGAAAGTCAACGCCGCTCTGTGTGTCACTGTACTCACGGACAGCTGGACCAATGTACGGGGCGAGAGCATCTTGAACTTTGTGTTGGCTACACCGAAGCCTATTTTCTACAGCGCCGTGGAGACGGAAGATCACAGGCACACAGGAGACTACATCGCGGGAGAGATTGTGAAGGTTGTGGAGAAAATTGAAACCGACAAGGTTTTCGCTCTTGTTACCGACAATGCAAGCAACATGAAGGCCGCGTGGACAATCGTCAGTCTGCGCTACCCTAGCATCACTACTCTTGGATGCTGTGCTCATGGACTAAACTTGTTGCTGTCGGACATGCTCAAACTGGTGACATTGCAAGAAGTTTGCAAGAGGTCCAAGACTGTAATCAAGTATGTCAGAAACTCTCACGTGGTTGCGGCTCACTTTGCTAAGAGGCAAGAAGAGTGCTATGCTGGAAACCAGACCACATTAAAACTGCCAGCTGAAACTCGCTGGGCGGGCATTTTGATGTCACTAGAAGGCTTACTGAAGAACAAAGAAGCTTTACAGAAAACTGTGATCGCTGCGGAGCTTCAAGTGAGCAGCGAAATAAGATCAACGATATTAGATGAAGACTACTTTTGGCGAGATGTGCAAAGCACCTTCCACGTGTTGCAGCCAGTTGCCCGTGCTATTTCCGAGGCTGAGTCAGACACTGCTGTCCTCTCAGACGTCCATGAGATCCTGTTCAAAGTAACAAGACAAGTCGAAGAGGCCCTTCCAAACTCTGCCTTGACAACGGGTGGAAAGGAAAGAGTAGCAGAAATCCTGCGAGAGCGACGCAACTTTATTTGCCGTCCAGCACATGCTGCCGCAAATTTGCTCGACCCGAAGTTCAAAGGGCGGTGCTTAAGTTACGAAGAGGTATGCCACGCAATGGACTACATCACAGAGACAGCAGAAAGGATGTGTCTCGATGTGGGAAAAGTGTTGTCAAATCTCGCCGAATAATGGGTCCAGTCTGGTGCTTGGTCGAGGAAGGCATTGGAGGACTCGGCGAAGCATATTCCACCGTCCACGTGGTGGCAAGGGCTGTGTGCCTCTGAACCCCTGGCACCAATTGCTTGTCGCCTTCTCCAAGTCCCGCCCTCCTCCGCTGCGTGCGAACGAGAGTGGTCGAAGTTCAGCGGTGTCCACACCAAAAGTAGGAACCGACTCAAAGGACACAGAGTGCAGAAGTTGGTGTTTGTTCGCTCCAATCTCGAGCTCAGGAGCCCTGATCTGAAATACCACGACGGAGATGACTCAAGCGTGGAGTCAGAGTAGCCCTAACTAACTCACTGCTTTAGAACATCCGTCTTAATTTACAAAAGATATCTAGTCAACGCGTGCATATCTACCTCATCCAATGTTGGTTTTGAAGTTTGATCCTGTACACTTTAATGCAGAACTAGTTGTACCCTTAGAAGGGAAAAGGGTCATGACAAAATACATCAATGTTGTTAAACTTCACTCCCCTTTGAATATGATTATTTAACGTGGCATTAAAACATGGCACTACCTTCATGATAGTACATAAAGCAATTAATTTCTTCAATGGTTGACATATGCGACTATATTTCACCACTCTGCTGTTATGTTATTTAAAGCTATGTTCATGCTGGTGCGGTAGTGGAGATCCGGCTGTAAATTAAGAGTCTCGTATATTAATTTATTGACCGAGAAAAACGCCATAGAGGACTTAGAAACACGGCTTCATCACATGCGTACACACTACCAACAAGCCTCGGACAGCACTGTCATTTCTCCTCCGTATAAGGCGTTCACACTGAACAGTAAAGCAACCGTCATTCGGGATGGTTGCTGCATAGTTTTTAGACAACGCAAACGGTGCAACGACGGGGCGAGGCGGCAGACAACCCGAGGTGATTGTGTTTCCTCACTTGCCCCGCCGTCGCGCTGTTTTGTTTTCTTAGGGGCTGAACGATGCATTATGTTTAGTACAGCGTGATTAAGTTTCCGCCTGCTCTGCCGGCAAAACTCAATTCAGAGGAGCGTGATGGCCATTTTCCCTTTCGATGAGGTCAGCGATATCAATTATAACGTTCGTTGCAGAAATTTGCTTAATAGATTTGTTAATACTTCAAAAACTTGGGTTTCGTTTTTTTTCCCGAATACTATGTCGGGGAAAAAACCAGAAAAAACAGTTTTTTTCCAAAATTTCCGGTTTTTTTCCGAGCCCTCGCATCACTAACCACAGTGCGGTTGGTAATGCTAAAAAATAGCATTAGCCACAACACTGTGGTCCCAAGCACTCCATGCGACAGTGACCTTGCATCTTTCTCGTAGTCCTCGTCTGTCCTTTTTTTAACCTTCATAACCTCGTACACACGGGCATGGCCTCTCCCTTGTTGCACAACACGGCCCGGGTGGAAACACCAGCAGCACCCATACTGACCATTAAACTGAGTTTGGTTGTGGATCATGCACCTGGCCACAGTGTCGGCTGTGCATGGACCAGGGTAAGCCTTGGTTACATGGTCAACACCATCGCTGCCAGTCCAACTAAAGCCGCTGGTGCTGAGGTCATTCATTTCCTCGATGAATATCACCAAGAAACATTGCATGTTTGGCTTCTTTGGGCCAAACCAAAGACCGGCAAGGAGTACATTGTTCATTCTTTCCTTGAATGGCAGTTCGTTCACCATCACTTCCAACGGCCACACGCTATACTCTGAGGAATGAAAAAGCGGTATTCCATCCGTGTTCCAGGTCAGAGTTATGTCGTCATTGCCCAGAGGAAGTTTGTTGTAGGCAGGACTTTCAGTGATGTCACTGACATCGAACTTCAGGCCCGGCTTTTTCAGCGAAGGGCTTTTCTTCTCAAGTAAATTGCGGAGCTCGGCCTTCCAATCCAAGCTAAGAAAATAGTACCCTCCCCGCAACAGGAGCTTTGCTGAGTGCACGGCACCACACACACAATTAAGTTTGTCACTTTCTTCCTGACCAATGTATGACAGACATGTAGGGCAATAAAAGTGGCTTCTGAGAGGCTGCTCTTGCTTTTTGAAATACTTTTCAAACAGATAGTTTGTCGCAGGAACTTGGCTGCCTTGAGGGAGGTGGAGCTGTAGCATAGTTAAGAGGCTCTCCGTTGCCTCTTTTGTGTTGTGGTGACGCAAAACGTGAGGCATGAGCAAGGGAAGGCTCTCTTCGTGAGTCACCTGAGCCCCAGGAAACAAGGGTTGAACCTGGGAAAAGAGAACGCTTTCTGTATTACAAAGTGTTTCCAAACCAATCATTTTCTGCCATATAAAAACTTGAAATACTTTTCACAGACTATTAGAGTTTTAAATTCCCTAAAGGGCAACTCCGGTCCATACTTTCGATTTTGGGATTATGACTTTTTTTAGCGCAGTCAGCGTCCCTGAATTACTAGGTTAATTTTTTTTTTTTGCGTTATTGTTTACAATTTTAAAAGATATCGACGCCTCTAAGTTTCGTTTGGGGTGCGGCCGACAAAACCGAAACTAGCCGTGCGAGGCCCCGGCAACACTAGAAATTAGCCGGTATGTGGACGTGATGTCAGGATCGTTCTCGTTCAACGGGTACGCAGGTCGAGCGGCACCTACCTCTGTTGCGCTAGCTGTCTAAAGATAGAAGGTAAGCTGATTTTGTTTCAATTCTGTATACGTGGTAGTTATCCAGCATATGTAGCAAGAGTTAGTGCGTATACTCAAAAGCTAGCGACTGGAAAACCCGTGAACTCGTTCGGTGCCGTACTCGGCCGCCGCCGCCGTACTTGCGCTTTGCCGTACTCGTCGCGTGTATACCCAAAAGCTAGTGACTGGAAAACAAGTGAACTCGTTCGGTGCCGTACTCGGTGGCTGTTGCCGTGCGTGCTGTCTTCCG